TTTCTACCTTGTAATGTTCAGCCTCATCTTCCGGGGGTTTCAGGAGCTCCTCTAGCGTGCGCACCTCTTCACTGGTGATATCAGCACAGTAGGGTTCCACAGAGGCCCAGAACCTACAGGGAAGACGGAACTAGAATGGACATCCCTGTGCCCCTCCTGCCTCAACCCAGCCCCCAATATCACAATCCCAAGACCCAGCTCTACCCACCCCCCTGCTTTCCTGCTCAGAACCTGTTGGGGGCATCGTTCTTGGGGATCCGTGGCACATCGATTGGGTCATCAGTGAATTCATACTCCTGGATCTTGGGCTGAAGGTTTTTGGATTTGGGTCGCCCAGGACCAGGGCCTGGCCCATGTCCTGCCTTCCCTTCTAGTTTCTGCTTCTTGGGCTTCCCATGTTTGGGAGGTGCACCAAGCTCATGGTCTCGACCAAGTTTCAGGAATCGCCGGTCACCTTTCTTATCCTGCCAGTCCGTGAGGATCTGAAATGTACAGAGACTGTCACTGAGAATGAAACATGCAGGACATTCTTTTGCCCAAGTGAATAAATGCAAATCAGAGTTCAAGGCAGCTCCAAGCATTCCTCCATCATGTGTGTGTCTGTGTGTGCTACCAGGGATTGCCAAGACCTTGCACTTGCCAGGCAGGCACTTATTCTACCTAGTTATCTCCCCAGCCCTCCCATCCCAGCCCTCCCATCTATTCTACCGAGCTATCCCCTGGCTGGCCAGATAGCTCAGTGGACTAAAGAGCCTGCTTAGGCAGAGCACAGGGACTGGAGTTCAATCCCTAGCATTAAATACCGGCCCTGCCCCCAGGGTGTGCTGAGACTGCAATTGAGACTGCTCCACTAATGTGCCTATAATCCCAGGCTGAGAACAGGAAGATCACTATAGTCGGATCTGTGTAGTAAGACACTATACTAAATACATTAAAAAAAAAAAAAAAAACCAAAAACTTACCATTATCTTTTTACTGAGGAAACTCATACCCATTCTTCAAATCTCAAACCTTTTTTGTCTTTTTTTCCTTTCTGTGTAGTTCAGACTACACAGGCTTGAACTCAAAGCAATCTTCCTGTCTCAGCTTCCCAAGTGCTGGGATTACAGATGCACAGCACCACGTCCAGCCAGAACTCAGCCTCTGTGTGTGCGTGTGGCCATTTCATTCCACAGAACTTTATTCATACACTTCTCACCATTCTATTCACTTTCTGTTTGTACTGACTCACCCCTGTTCACCCAAGCCAGTCACAAACTGGTTTTCTGTTTGTCATTTTCAGGAATCGAACTTATGACCTTGCACTTCCCAGGCAGTCACTGTTCTGCTGAGCTATATCTCCTGCTCACAAACTTTTCAGCATAAAGTCAAGTAAGGATGTCACCTGTGTCTGGTAGCTCTGCTAAACTTGCTGGTGGGAATTTTTGAAGGCAAGCAAAATTTCTAACAAACCTTTACTTCAAACATTACCTGACCTAGGATGCCTTCTCCCCATGAGTTACCTAGCACTTCTTAGATGCCGTAGTCTCCTTGAAAGATTCCATGGTTTCCCAGGGACTACATGTGAATTCAGTAGCCACTAAGACCCAAATGAACTGGCACTTCCTTCTTCCTCGCTCCGAGTTCCTGGCAGTTTGCGCGCCCACTGCAGACCCAGCTGTGTTGCTGGACGTGCTAGAAAGAACAGCACACCTGCGCACTGCTCAAGTGGCCTATAAGCCACTGAAGAGCAGGACTCAAATCTTTACCTCTCTACTCTTTAGGATCCAGCAGTGTGGCCGGCACATAGAGCCCCGGGGACGTTTATGCAGTAAATAAAAATAATCAAATTAGCACCAGTATATAATATTTGAAATGCTTTCTTAGGGCTGAGCCTTTGCAAAAATTTTTCTGCAGTACTGAGGACTGAACGCAAGAAGTACTGAGCTACATCCTCATTCATTCATTTTAGACAGGGTGTCCTAGATAGTTCAAGCCAGGCTTGAAATCCCTACATAGTCTAGGGAGGCCTCAAACTTGTGATATTTCTGCCTTGGCCTATAGAGTAGCTGGAATTAAAGCATATGCCACCAAAGCCCAGACAATCTTTCTTTTTTTGTTGTTGTTAATTTTTAATTTTTGCTTTATTTTAGGGAAGGGCTTACAGGGTATTCAGGGTCTCACTACTAGATCAGACTCAGTGATCTGCCTGTTTACAGCTTCCCAAAATCTGAGATTATAGGTGCGTGCCACCACACCCATTCTCAGTCACTGTCTCAGTGTGCCCCTGAGGTGGGGCTGGCACAGCAGACCTGGGGATCGAACTCCAGGCCCCTGCGCCTGCTTGCAGGCACTTTAATCCACTGAGATATTAGGCCGGCCCTCAAAAAAAAAACAACATATATATAGTACTGGGGATTGAACTCAGGACCCCGTGCTTACCAGACAAGCACTTATTCCACTGAGTTATCTCCCTGGCTTGTTCTTTTAACTTTCACAAAAGTTACAAAGATAAAGATGCAAGGACTGGGGTTTGATCCCCGGTGTGCTGTGCTGTGCCACCCCTGCCTCAGGGATGCACTGCGACAGTGACTGAGACTGGGCATGGTGGTACGTGCCTGTAATCCCAGCATTTGAGAGGTTGAAAACAAGAGGATCACTACGAGTCTCAGTTGTATAGTGAGACCCTGTACTAAATACATTAAAACATAAAACAAAAAAAGTTACAAAGGTAAGTTCTTTCCTTTTTTGTTTTTTTGAGACAGGGTCTCTCTATGAGTGCTGGTATTACAGACATGTACCACTACTCCCGGCAAAGGTAGGTTCTATTGTTCAGCCCAATGTAGAGGTTGGGAAATTGAGGCTAAGAAACATACACTAACATTATCAAAGTCACATACCCTGGTAACATCAACACTAATAAGTACCTAATGCCAGGGTTCAAATCTAGTTTTCTCATTCCCTTTAGCTGGCAAGTCCCTGACAGACTAATGTGTCCTGAAGGTTTTCTACTGACTAGCACAAAACCCAGAACAGGTGAGTAAGCTGAAGACCAAGCAAATTCATGGGTTTTTTTGTTTTTTAGAAAAGGTCTTGCTGTGTAGTTCAGACAGGCCTTAAATTCCTGGTGATCCTCCTGCTTCAGCCTCCCCAGGGCTGGGATTACAGGCATGTACTACCACACCTGAGTCATGTGCATTTTATGTCCTACAAGCCCAATTTCAGTCTCTTTCTCTTCCAATCAGTCTCTTGGGCTGAGCTAATCTAATGACCCGTCCCATAACGTGACACAGTCCATCTCTGTGATGTCCTGTTTGGGGTATCACCTGGGTTTCAGCTTCCAACACACGAAGGCGCCGGCTGGCAGATGACAGCAGGGTCTCAAGCTCCAGCTGCAGTGTGTCCAGCTCCTCAATGCCGATGCCATCATCCTCAGAGCGGGCCAGTACTGCCGTGTAGCGGGGACAGACCTTCAGGTGGTCCACAGACTTAAAGTCATGGAACTGCAATGGGCAATCCTTCAGCTCACTCATGGCCCAGGAGGTGGGACCCTGCAGAGCTGGAGAGAAGGCCCTCCGTGAAGCCAAAGAGGTATGAAAAAAGGCCCAGGTTTTCTTTCATGGGAGACAGCCTCAATGTAACCCAGGCTTTGGCATCCTGACTGACCAGGCTGACAGCACAGCTCCAAGTCACACAGTCCCCAGAGCCCACCAAGTCAGGTGCAAGGCTCATCTCACCGAATTCCTCACTCAACCCCATGACTGGGACCACCACAGATAACGTCCTTTTTACAGAAATGGAAACCGAGAACCTAAACCCAGACAGCCTTGTGTCTGCAGCCATAACCCCCACATACTCCTACTATGCCCATTTTCCCGATGTACTTCCCTTCTCTTCTCCAGGGTTCTCCAAAGCTTTTGGGTGTTAAGTATGTTCTGACGGTTCTCTGTGCTCCCAGGTCTCCTTGTGCACCCCACTCCACCCTTGCCCTCATTCCCTGCCTTGAAGAGTGGTTTGGAACACAAGCTAGTCAGCCAGACAGAACTGGGTTCCAGTCAGCCAGACAGAACTTGGTTCGTGCCCCCTTCTCCTCATAGGTCTCCCTGAACTTAATTAACCTGAGTTTTGGTTTGGTATGCAAAACAGGGTCAAAAGAAGATGTCTGCTTCTCCACATTAAGTATGCATCTGTAAAATGGGGACAACACCAGTACCTACCTCCCAGGGACGTTCTGAGGATTAAGAGAGGCTGCTCCTCAAGAGCCCAGTTCAGTGCCTGGCACAGAAGACGGGAGGACTGCTTAATGGCTGGCCCCACCCGTGGGTTGCCCCAATGACCCGTCCCAGGGTCCTTGTCCCCTAGGGACCCTCTAAAGCAGTCCCCCCACCCCTCTACCTCCTCTCCGCTGCCTCCTACGGCCCCCGGGGCCGCGGGAGGGGGCGGGGAGCTCTGGTCAATCGCAGAAACCGCCCCGGAACTATGGGCGGCCCCTGCCGCGCACGCGGGGCGGGGAGACAGCGGGCGCGCCCACTGCGGCTCGCGGGTGCGGAGGTGGGGGTGTGCGGGCCGCGAGCGAGCCCACTACAGGGGTCTGCCAGGGTACGGGCGAGCCCTAGGTGACGGCTCGGGTTGGGGGCGGAGCTCGGCGGCGGACTCTCCGCAGAGCAGGTACCCCGCCGAGCTGGGGGCGGTAGGGAGGAGGTGTGGGGACAGGATAGGGGCGCAGAACCGGAAGGAACGTAAGACTCCTCCGCCTCGGCTTGTCCTAATTTGGTGCCCAACCTAAAGTCAGGTTGTACTATTGCGTGACAGGGGGGACTACGACCAAGAAGACGAAAAGCTGAATACCAGAAAGAAAGATGCATGGATATCAAAGGAGTTTGAGTTGTGATCTGCAACTTTATGGCTTTAAAAATACCAAGCTAGGGCTAGTGTGAACATTCCCTGATGATCCCACTTTTGTTAGGCTATAATAACCCCTCTCGGAACACAGATGGTACCGCCCGGAAGGCCGGGCGGCGACTGCGGCTGCGCGAACCAAACGGGCAGGCGTCGCGCGCCGGCCACTTCCGCACTTCCGCTTTCCTGCCCAGCCAGCGCCCGCGATGGTGAGAGCCTGGCTCCTGCCGGGGACCCTATCAGTTCTGCCTGAGGGCTGTGGGCTTAGGGACGGTGCAGCCTTGCTGCGGAGGCCTGGGGCCGAGAGATGGCACAGGATCTACAGACATGATGATGGTGGGAGAGAGGGTGGAGTGGGGGTCCGAAGAGAGCAAGGGGCGGATAGGGCATCCTGGCAAGGGGCAGACTTGGCGTCTCGGAAGTCGGGTTCCGAGTTAGGTATGTATTGTTACCGAAGCGCGCCGGAGTCGAAACGGGTCGCTCAGGCCTGCGGTCACCCCTCGAAGGCACGTAGTGGGCCTCGTAGGGCCGCAGAGGTGTGTAGGATTTCCTGGTCCAAGGTAGAGCTCGGCTGACCACACCCCCAGGTCCTTTCTGGTGTTCTGAGCCCGTTTCCCGAGACGGTTGTTCTCTTTTCCATAGTTTTTTGTTTGTTTTTCTAAGACAGAGGAGTCTCTGTGCAGGTTCAGCTTGGCCTTGAGTTCACTTTGTAGCCTTGGCTGGTCTGGAACTCGCAGTGATACTCCTGCCTGGTCCTCCGGAGTGCTGGAATTATAGGTGTGCACCATCCATAGCCTCTTGTCAGTACTCCCAGCCTTGCCTGTGCCCCAGTGAAGAATCTCCCAGCCTCCCTTCAGGCCTCTTTGATCATAGCCAAACTATGTTGACCTCACTGTGTGTAGAACTCTGATACTGCTGGTCCCTCTTCCCGGGAGTCCTCTAGTTCAGTATATTTGGGCGTTCCTGGAAATTATGACTTGGCTCCCCACCTTTCCCTCATAGCACTTTTCCTGGTGATACTTAGTTTCAGGTTTGAATGACCTTCTACTGTGGTCACTCCACCATCTGCTTTCCTAGTTCTCTTTCAAGATTAACTTGGCCAAGCTGTAGTGATAGCTCAGCGGTCTAAGCACCTGCCTAGGCAAGTGTAAGGACCCCGGTTCGGCTCCTGATACCTCATGATGTGCCGGCCCCGTCCCACCTACACCGAACCTGCCACCGAGACCTGGTATGGTGGTGCACGCCTGTGATCCCAGCGCTGGGGAGACTGAAACAGGAGGATCATTACAAGTCCGAGCTGCGTAGCAAGACCCTATACCAAATACATTTTAAAAAAAAAAATTTACCTGGCCATCTTGAAATTAATTCTCTAGTGTTAAACTACCCCTCTAAACTTGCTCTTCCTTGTTACTTGTCCTGCCTGTTTTTATAGCTCATCTGGAAACCTGGTCTTTTAATTAAGGATATATTTTGTTTTGAACTATGGGTTTCATTTACTGAGCTATATCCCAAGCCCCTTTTTTGTTTAGAGATAAGGCTTACTAAGTTGTGCAGGTGGGACTTGAACTTGCGATCCAAGCTCTTTTATTTTTGGTTGTTTGGGGTAGGGTCTATCTTGTTCAGGCCATCCTTGAACTCCCTCCAATCCTCCTTCCTCAGCCTCCTGAGTGCTAGGAGTACAGGCATGTACTGGCACACCCAGGAATCCAAGTTTATTGAGGTATTTCATGAAACTATGTTTTACTCGTGAAAAGATTAGCATCATCTGGCTGGCCATCTAAAGGGTCCCGCTACGCAGCTTGGACTCTAATGATTGTCCTGTTTTCAGCCTCCCCAGCACTGGGATTATAGGCATATGCAGTTACGCCCAGTCTTAGTGGCCTGCTCAGTGTGCCTGGGGGCAGGGTGGGGCCAGCACAGTTGGTGGTGCTGGAGATCGAACCGCGGTCTCTCATCTCCGTGCTTGCCTAAGCAGGTGTTCTGCTGAGCTATCTCACCAGCCCCACCATTAGGTTTATAGTCAATGAATGTGGACAAAATAGTCATGTAACCATTGTTATAATCAAGATACAGAACACTTTCATCACCCCCAAGAGTTTGCTGAGGTCTATTTATTTATTTCTCTCAGATCTCTTTAATCCATCACCACAGACCTCATCCTAGACAACCATTGATGTCTTTGCCTTGTCATTTTACCCTTTCTAGACTCCCATATGAGTAGAATTTTTAAGTATGTAGGCTTTTTAAGAAATTGTTATTGTGCTGGAGGTTGAACTCAGGACGTTGCATGTGCTAGATGAGTATTTTACCACCAAGTTACCCCCAACCACTGGTTTGTGGGTGACTACTAGTGTGTGGGCTTTTAGATGTGGTTTCTTCCCATAATACATTTGAGATCCATTCATGTTGTGTCACTAGTTGTTCCTTTTTATTGCTGAATACTGTTTCATGGTATGGAGTGGACTACAGTCTGTTAGTTTTTGATCTGTTGTGCTCTGCACTTGTCATTATGATCCCTGTGATACTTTTTGCCTGTCTGCTCTACCAGCCCAGTCTAGGCTCTGGTAATCACTTCGTGGTATGTCTCACTTCCCTCTCCAGTCCCTTCTCCGTGGAACTGCCGTGCAGCAGCAGTCATGTAACTTCCTCCTCAGAAAGCCCCAGTAGTTCTTGCTACACTAAATGAAGAGCTGACTCAGTAACTGCAGCTTCAGTTAGAGAGCCTACAGTGCTTCTCACATACAGAAACCTTGTGCTAGTTACTACTTCTGTAACTCATAATGGCTTTTGTGTTGTAGCCTCCTTTTTTTTTGAGACAGGGTCTTGCTCTGAAGTTCATACTTGCCTTGATCTCACTATGTATCCCAGGCTGGTCTGGAATTTGAGGCAATCCTCCTGCCTCAGCCTCCCAAGTCCTGGGGCTACAGGTGTGCACCACTGCATCTGTCTCCCCTTCCCCCCCACCCAGCCTTTTGAGATACAATCTTACTGTGTAGTTCAGGCCGTTGTCAATCCTCCTGCCTTAGCTGCTCAAGTGCTAGGATTAAAGATAGGTGCCACCACGCCCAGCTTGAGGCTTCACTTAAATCATTTCATTTGTTCATTCTACAGACAATAAGATATTGTATATGTCAGATACTGTGTTGCAGGCTGTGTAATTGAATAAAGCAGACACCTCACGTGTTGTTTATAATATGGGGAAGTCAAATCACTGTGAGACATGCAACAGATACATTGTTATAAATTTAATAAATGCATTACTTCTGCGTTTATTTCACTGAGGAGAGCTCAGTGTAATAAGCTGAGAGCCAAAGGATTGACTTAAGACAGAAAACGTGTAATGCCCTGAAATGAGAGAGGATTTGACTAACATAAAAGTGTAACCTAACCAGTGTAACTGGAAACTGATGCTTTTACTGGCAATGTCCTTGTTTTACTTATTTGTAAAATCCTCTTGATCCTATCACTTGTCAAAATCATTCCCCCCCCATTATGATTACTTATAATACTGATTATTTCCTAAGTTGCACACACATTGCTTCTCTGGTAAGAAAAACTGGAAGTGTGAATATTTCCCATTTTATCTTTCCTTGTATCATATGTCTCCTACCCAGGTGAGCTGTTTGAGGGTAGAAATGAATTCCCAGCTTGGCTAACAGTAGACCTGTGCGTGTTGGCTTAATAGGCAGGGAAAGGACCAGAGTTCCTCAGCCTTGGCGCTGTTGACACTTGGGGTTGTGCATCATAGGGTCCTTAGCATGTGTGGCCTCCTATCCAATTGATGTCAGCCATAGCCCCACAAGTCACAGGAATACAAAAGATCCTGACAGTCATCTCTATTGAGAACCACTGCTCTGAACTTAGACTGAAAAGCATCTAAGAGACCTAATGTGTTCTGCTCGCTGGTGTCTGAGACCTGGGTGCTCTATTGCCTGGCCCTGTGGGGTCTGGAGTCAAGGGGCTGTTTAATGAGGCAGATTCCGATTCTTCTTGAACCCTGCTATTTTTCCTACAGACTGCCACTCTCCGCCCCTACCTGAGTGCCGTGCGGGCCACACTGCAGGCTGCCCTCTGCCTGGAGAATTTCTCCTCCCAGGTCGTGGAACGACACAACAAGCCGGAGGTGGAAGTCAGGTAAAGAAGGGGCAAAGTGGGGGTGGGGAGCAACTGCCGGCATAGCTGCTGCCTCGAGGCTGCCATGAATCTGTCCTGTGACTCTCAGTTCTGCTTTAGTCGACGTATTTTATCTTGCTGCTGGATGATAGGTGGTTTCTGATTTGGAGTAAGAAAATAGGGTCAGTGGGTTGGCAGAGCAAGACCCAGGGGAGAAGCTCCTCTGGTACCACGCTTGCTTGGCCTAGGTGGGACTGGTTAGAATAGGGCTGTTGAGGAATCTCCTCTGGCCTTCATTAGTGAAACCACTGCAAGTTCAAAAGAGGTCTGAGCTCCTAACTCTGTGTAAGTTTTCTAACTGAAAAGTTAAGGCCTCCCCTCCCCACCACCACCACCATTCTGTATCTGACTTCAAATATTACAATTTTCTCTTAAGGGAGGTTTATTAGATTTAGAGCTTGTATAGGTTTCAGTCCATAGCTGGCTGGCCTATAGGCAGGGTAACATAGCAGAGGGGGTATTGCAGAGGAGAAGCAGATGGCATGGCAGAAGGTAGCAAAAGCAAGCCAAGTAGCGTTATCAACAAGGCAAATCCCAGTATTCCATTTGAATGGTTTTTTTTTTGGGGGGGGAGGCGGTGGTACTAGGGATTGAACTCAGGACCTTGTGCTTGCTGGGCAGCTACTTAAGCTACTGAGCCCTCCCTGGCCCTTGAATGATTTTCTTCTTGCCGAGCTTTCATTTCATTTCATAAATGTAATTTAAAAAAAAAATCTTTTTTAGATACTGGGATTCAATTCCAAGTCCTTGGACATGCTGGACAAGTGCTGTAACATTGAGTTATTACTCCTAGCTCATCCCCTTTGAAATGTAATCTGAATCAGGTGTGGTGGTGCATGCTTGTAATGCCAGCACTCAGGAGGCTGAGGCAAGAGGATCACCATGAGTTCCAGGCCAGCCTGGGCTGTATAAGCAAGTTGAAGGCCAGCTTGTACTGCATAGTGAGACCTTGCCTCAAAATAAATAATCTGGGACATATGTAATTGAAATAGGCCATGTTATCACATTAAATGATGATTTAAGTTTAAAAAAACATTAGAATGGGAGCTGGGGAGATGGCTCAGTGGAATAAGTGCTTCCCTGGTAAGCGCAAGGGCCTGAGTTCAATCCCTGGTGCTGCAAAAGAAAAACAACAACAACAAAACATTCGAATGTATTGTTATTAATGTGATTTCCACTAGAATTTTTAAATAATCACAACTTACAGGCTACCATACTTAACTTTGTTTACAAATATCCTGGATATTCAGTGACATTAGCTTGGGACCTGAGCTGATACGGGTCTTGATGGTGAATAAGTGAGTAATTTTGGATTGATAATTAAAGGATCCTAGGGCTGGGCATTTAGCCCAATGGTAGACTACTTTCTTAGCATGCATAAGGCCCTGGGTTTGACCCCTAGGAGCCTTTTAAAAATAAAAAATAAGCCAATTTGTTCGATTTAGGCCGTCCTTGTTGCTAAGGCAAGTGCTCTCGTTCCCTCAGTGGTGTGTCTGTTTGTCTGTAGTTGTCAGAGTCAGCTGTCTTTATAAAGCTGCTGTGTGCTGGGCACGCCTGTAGACACTTGACCCTCTTTGGTCTCTCCCAGTTCTTGCCTGTGAAACAGGAATCAGGGACATTTTATAGATGAGGAATTGAGATCTAATAGGGTCCCTTGCTCAAAGGAGGTTACAGAAGGGCGAGTTTTAAAACATCCCCCCCCCCCCCCATCACACTCTGGACCTTGCACTTGCCAGGCAAGCACTTATGCCACTGAGCCATCTCCCCCGTCCTGAGCCTGTGTTCTTTTGCTGGAGCACGTCCACCCTGGCCTTCATCTTAGACTATCCCTGCTTGAGACTTCGTTCCTTGAATTCCTATTGCCATGGATAGTGAGTTGGATCTGCCCTGGCTGTTCTGTCCCTCTGTGATACAGAAGTCCGTGACTTTGTGTTCTTCAGGAGTAGCAAAGAGCTCCTGTTACAACCCGTCACCATCAGCAGGAATGAGAAGGAGAAGGTGCTGATTGAGGGCTCCATCAATTCTGTCCGGGTCAGCATTGCTGTGAAGCAGGTGAGTTGTCATAGGGCGGCCCAGCATTAGGTAAGAGCTCACTTCCATGCCCAGGTCTCCATCTGGGGGATGAGTGTGGCAGACTCGCCAGGAAAAAAACCTAGGCTCTGCTTCCTTGAATGTACTCAGGACATGATGAGCAAAGCAAGTCTGTAGAATAAAAAGAGACAGTAACTCCACCTGATAGGCCTTGCGGTGGGTTAGGATGCAGGAAACAGCATTTAGGGCTGCAGGACCCATTTAGTGTCAGATCACAGACCATTTCCAAATGACTTCATTACTTTTCACTGGGCAAATTCCCAACACAGCTTACAAGAAGAGTGTACTTGGGTTCTGATCTTGAGGTTGCGGCCCACAGTCAGCTGGCTCCAAGTTGAGTGGTGGAAAGATCTGAGTTGAACAGCTGTTTCTGTCATGGCAGTCAGGAAGCAAGGAGAAAAGGGAGGAGCTGAGGAGGGAGATGCTTCCTTTCTGGTCATGCCCCTACAACCTGGGCAGCCAGCCAGCCCCCACCTTCTACTGGTATGGCACTGTGAACCCCTGGGTGGGGGTCGATGAGTGTGGTACCCCATGATCCCAGTCACTTTCCAAACACAAGGCTGAGTGGACAGTTCAGATCCAGAGCATAACACAAGGAGAGAGAATGTGTCTACTGTGGAAAGGTACGTAGCACCAGTGCCAGTTTGATAGCCGAGGTTTCTGCAGCTGCCGTTTAGTTTAAGAAACAAAGTGCCACGTCTCACTTTCGTAAATTAATTTTTATGACATAAAAATGATTTTATCAAACTTACTCAATAATTTTTCTGTTTGTGGTATATTTTTATTTTTTATTTTATTTTTTTAATTTTTTTTATTTATTTAGGGGTGTGTGTGTGTGTGTGTGTGTGTGTGGCCAGCTCAGCCCACCAGGGGGCGGGGCTGGCTGGCATGTGGTGCTGGGGGATTGAACCGCGGTCCCTGTGCTTTGCTAAGCTTGTTCTAAGTAGGTGCTTTAGACCACTGAGCCATCTCACCAGCCCGTGTGGTATATTTTTAAAATATTCAATATACAACACAAGGTTACAATCAGGACAGTAGTATCCAGTCTCTGAATTCATTTTGCATTAATCTTTTTTTTAACACACTTTACACTGTCATGTTGCCCTTTCCTTTTTTTTTTTTTTTTTTTTTTTTTTTTTTAAATTTATTTATTTGTGCGTGTGTGTGTGTGTGTGTGTGTGTGTGTGTGGCCAGCTCAGCCCACCAGGGGGCGGGGCTGGCTGGCATGTGGTGCTGGGGGATTGAACCGTGGTCCCTGTGCTTTGGCTTTGCTAAGCTTGTTCTAAGTAGGTGCTTTAGACCACTGAGCCATCTCACCAGCCCCAAGCCCTTTCCTTTTATCTGAGGTATCATTTCATTCAAATGTCTTATCCACCAAACATAGTAAAGACATCAGTGATGGGCACTGTAGTTGGCGTTTCACTGTCCCATATTTTTCAGTTATTTGGTATATTAGAGGTAACAGGGGTCGGGGAGATAGCTCAGTAGAAGGGCCTGAATTCAATCCCTGGTTCTGAAAAAAAAAAACGAAACAAACCAAAAAAGTATGCCAAAAAATTCAATATAAAACAAACAGACATCTGAGTGAATTTGTACAAATAAGAAATGATGCCTGCCTAAGTGATTCCCTGGGATAGGTCAGTATAGTCACATTATAAACACATGTACTTCTCTGGTGCTGCTGGGGTGAACTATTAAGTAATTAATAGGTTTTTAAAAACTTGACTTGTGAGCTGGAGAGATAGCTTAGTGGCTTAAGCACCTGTCTGGTAAGTGCAAGGTCTTGAGTTTAATTCCCTATACCAAAAACTAAACTAAACTAAAATAAAATAAGATAAAGTAAAATTTCGTTTTACTTAATTAGATACTGTACCCTAAATGAAAATAGTATCACAGCAAATAGAGGGTGACTCTAAAACACAAAAGCAAACAATATTATTAAATTTAGCCTAGATACTGTTGCCTAGGGAAAGCTGCTCTGAGGCCTGCTATCTTTGAGGAGGTGGAAGGTGAAGGAGTCAGGGCGTTCTAACCCCTGGCTGCAGAGTTGTGCCCGTGGAGAAACTGGGACAGGAGAAAAGGGAGGCCTAGGAGAATCGTTCAGTGCTGAGTGTTACCACACAGTGGCTGCCCTTTGTTGGCTCTGACACTGGGAGGGGTGTGCTGCATGCTTTGAGAAGTGCAGCAGTAGGGAAGAAAGGAAAGACAAGTCTGGATGAAGTGTAGATGCTGACGAGCTGATGAAAGCACGGTTTGCCAGAATTACCTTGAATGGTGAGGCGAGGGGGAGATGGCAGTAAAGCCTACCGAGTTAGAAAGGCCTTGTGGTAGAGCCATCATGCGGCAGTCGGGTCCTCACAATTCAAAGTTCAGGCAGTATTTGTTTCTGTTATCAACTGCTGTCTCTGTCAAGCCTTGGAGAAAATTAGAGTTGAGGTTATGGAGAATTAAGGACTAGGACAGTGATGGGGAAACATTCAGAGACCAAATGCCTAAACTGCAACTCCAAACCCACTTACACCATGCCAGCACGGCCTCTATGTGTACTGTTACTGACACTCGGCTGCTGGGGCCACTTGGCTTGTGAGCCAGCAGGGTTGTGTATGTCTGCTGTGACACATGTGCCAAAATTTGCCACCACTGGCCTAGGATGTCAGCTCTTAGAGAACCATCTTTCTCTTCTGCTCCTACTAGGCTGATGAGATAGAGAAGATTTTATGCCACAAGTTTATGCGCTTTATGATGATGCGAGCAGAGAACTTCTTTATCCTTCGAAGGAAACCAGTTGAGGTAAGACACTGGAATGTGTGTGGTTGTCATGCCCAGAATTCTTCCACCAAGTAGCCAGGAATTACTTCTTGAGCCAGGGTTGCTGCCTTGTCAGCAGTAGGCCCCTTGCCGGAGTTGAGAGTTGGCTGGGGTGGTAGTGAGGGGGATGAAAAGCTTGGGAGAAGTTGAGTCAGTGTTGCTCATCTTCCTGGCACCCAGGCTCCAACTGCAGAGAGCCTTTCTCAGCTCTGCCACCCACTGAGTCAAGAGCCACAGTTAACATGGGGCCAGGTGTTACCTGGCATTGTCTTGGAATCCTCTACACATACTCCTAACATAGCCACCCAGCATCCAGGTCATCATCAGATGCCAAAAGTACCTGCCAAGTTCTTTTTCTTTTTTTTTTTTTTTTTTTTTTGGCAGAACCGGGGATTGAACTCAGGCCCTTTTGCTTGCCAGGCAAGCACTTATTCTACTGAGCCATCTCCCCGGCCCCCTCCAAGTTCTTTTTCTTGAGCCAAGTTTCCCCTTCCAGTCCTAGATTCTGCTTCCAGGGCCACCTGGTGTAAATTGTCCTCCTTACACATCCTCTAGTAGCAGGACTCCCATCCTGCCTCCTTTCTCATCACCTCTTCTGTGAAATGAGTGTTCTTACTGTTTGGTTGGATTCTTCATAGCAAGTTTTGAATTCATTCTCCCGATTGATTTGAAATGGAGTGTCATTTGTGCCACAGTCAGAGACAACTGTTAATATACAGAATTCTCATCTGGGTCCACTTGCTTGGCTCCAACGACCCCCACACCTTGGAGTGGATGGGCTGCTCACTGGAAGGCATGTAGCTCAGGAGGTTGCAGCCTCTGGAGGCATGTGGAGGACATGGCCAGCCAAGTGTCCCTGCTGTGTTACTTCTTTCATGTTTCTCCTCCTCTTGTCTTTGTTCCCTAGGGATATGACATCAGTTTTCTGATCACCAACTTCCACACAGAGCAGATGTACAAACACAAGTTGGTGGACTTTGTGATCCACTTCATGGAGGAGATCGACAAAGAGATCAGTGAGATGAAGCTGTCAGTCAATGCCCGTGCACGCATTGTGGCAGAAGAATTCCTCAAGAATGTAAGTGGGGGCCTTCCTCATTCTTTTCCAGAGCAAAGGAACCCTGGGTTGTGTGGAGAATGTAGCATTTGGTAGGCAAGTGGTGCCTGCAGGTTGTTCATGCCTTCTGAGGCCGCTGGGTTGTCTGGTTCATGACCAGTTGCCTTTACCTTTGAGTGCTGTAAAGTATGGGACAGTTAGTCATCTTAGAACCCCACTCCTCGCATACTTAAATTTCTCTTCAACTTCTATTTCTCAGGGACCAAGGCATGATTTCTTTAACCTCCTTCCTGTCACTTTGAGGGTTTCAGGCTTCCAGGTCTCTGAGATTGTTTGTGCTTTTTTAAACCACAGTTCTCTAGAGACAAGGAACTATTTACGTTGAGAAACTGATGATGTAGTTGTTTATAGAGATTCAGGACATGCCTCCTTATTCCCCTCCCCCCCGTTTTCCAAACAGTCTTTGGCTTGTTGATGTGTTCTACTTAGAGCTGACTGTAGTCCCAGACTGTGCATTTGATGTTTATTCCTGCCAGTGCTTACAGATTCCCCAAGAGGAGCTCGGATTCCTAAAATGGAGATCATACCCGTGTTCGCTCAGGGTTAATTATTCTGGGGTTGGGGGCGGCATCCAGTTCCTACACTGCACAAGGCAGTTGTTGAGCAGACTGAGCAGTGTGGCGTCCCTGTGGCTCCCTGCCTAGTCAGGCCTATCACGAAACCTCCCAGCCAAGCTCTGTCTCCTCAGCTGTGAGAAGAGGGTACTACTAATGGTCAGCTTTCAGACTGTTTGGATAAGGAGATAATCTGTTACACAGGAAGCTTTCTGTGTGTGGTGGCGCAATGTTTTATGGCCAGGGCCCTGGAAGACAATCTTGGTGGTCTTGCACTTGCCTGGACGGGGTTCAGACCTGTGCTCCACTGGCTTCCCTTCCACAGCACAGGCATCCAGGTGCATGCCACCAGGTCTGGTTTCATGTCTATGAACACTGGGGAGCCAGTCTTGGGGCTTTATTCAGTCCTCAGCTATTGAGTCACTGTTCTTGGCCCTGTGGGAGATACTTGAGGATAGAAAACATTACCAGGCCTGTCCTGGCTGGGGATCATGCAGAATGTGACAAACTGCCAATTCCTGGGTCCCTCCCATCTTGCATGTGAGTCCCCTTGTCTGAAGAAGACACCTTGCACTCTTCAAGCATGATACGACAAGGCGTGTGGAGCCACCTGTGTGATTTAGGCAGGGTCCTCTCTGCTTGTCTGAACCAGGCTACGGGCTGCTGAAGCAAGTGTTCCTGTAGGGGTCATAGGTCCCACATTCACCCCTAAGATCAGAGTACTGCTGTAGTGCTCGTGCCGTCTCCACCTTGGAACAGGCTCAGCCAGAGACCAAATAACCACTGTTCGCTGCCTTTTCTCTTGACAGTTTTGAACCACCTGGCTGGATCTTGAGGCCTCCCCCTCAGCCTCCCTGTGTGTCTGCGAATCTGCGTGGGCGTCCTGGCGTCACCTCCCAGCGTGGCAGCAGCAGTGACTGCAGTGGCGGTGGCAGGGAGCTGGGGAGGGCGGGCATCGGATGTGGGAGGGGGGTAGTGTGCTTGCTAGCTGGACAAGAAAGCAGCGTGGACCTGCCTCAAGGCCACATGTGCCTGGTCAGGCTGGCTTCTGATGCTCAGTCCCCTGGGCCGGGACACTTGTTTTTTAACATCTTGAAATTTAACTCTGTGCTTGTAGAAGACTGTAACCTTTTTGTCTTTTTTTTTTTTTTTTTTTTTTTTTTTTTTTAAACAATCTCCACCTCCAGTGGCTGTGACTGGTCCCAGTGATTGTACCTTTTTGGTCGCTGTGGGTCTGGGCGGGCCTGGAGCCGAAGGCGACAACTTTTTCTCCCCTGTGCCACCTCTGGTGGGGAGAGAAGGAAGTTTCAGACTCCGGTTTCTCTCCCTTGCCCTCTTATTCCCAAGCTTCTCTGGGCTCAGTAGAAGTTGCAGGAACCTTTGCCAGCTCCAAGCTCTGCCTGAAGATGGCTTTCCAGTGCTGGTTGGGGGTAAGGGCTGGGTCTGTGACTACCAGCCACATCTAGGAGCTGGGGCCCAAAAGCCAGGCCACCTCTGGCTGCAGGGGCCATTGCGATGTCCTCCCTGCTGGGAAGGGCACTGTCTGGCCTGTCAGTGCAGCCCCTTTGCTGGAGGTGGAGGGTGAGGCCTGCAAGTTCCCAGCAGGGCCTCTGCCCGCTTCAGCGCCTCTGTTCCGCTTGCTGTCTCTTCTGGTTCTGGTGGCTCCTCCCTCCCCTAATTAAAGTCTCTTCTTGCCCTTTGGGGCTGCATGAGGTCTGTACTCTGTGTTTCTGAAGGGAAAGGAGGTAGGCTGTTCACCCTAAGGCTATACAGCTGGTATTACACTCTAGGGCTCCCCAGGAAGTGACTTGGATCTACCATTTCTGTGGAGGTCCCAACCCCAAGAAGCCACGTCTGCAGTCCTATGCCATCTATTTCTGGAAATGCAGCTTTTGCCTACAGAGCTTTCGTGCTTTTCCACAGTCTCAGGCTGAAAGATAAATAACCCCAGACATAGTGATCACATTTCATGTTTAAGGAAACTGAGGCTCAGAGCCAGCGTTGCTTGTTGCACATCCCCCAGCCTGCAAGCAGAAGGGTAGAATTCCACTTGTGTTAAGGCAGCGGTCACTGCCTTGTGTACCTATTTATTACATTTAAATTAAGTTTAAAATCTAGCTCCTCAGTCTACTGGCAACATTTCAAATGTTCAGTTGTTAAAAGGCCGGGGAGATAGTGCAGTGGCATAAGTGCCTGCCTGGCAGGCACAAGGTCCTGAATTTGATCCCAAAAAACTTAAAATGACTCATACCTAATGTTCTCAAACACCACGTAACATTTCTATCAAAAAAAAAAAAAAATTATTCTAGAAAGTGAAGTCCTTTTTAGTGATTGATAACCTTGTAAATAAAAAGTGTATTTATGAGTCCTGTTGTACTAAATTTGGGCACAATAGTATCTGCCTTTTTAAAATTTTATTTTAGGGAAGGGTCTGCAGGGTGTTCAGGGTCTCACTGCTAGATCAGATTCATACTGGTTGCCTATTTACAGCCCCCCAAGAGCTGGGATTACAGGTGTGCACCACCATGCCCAATCTCAATTGCCATCTCAGTACGCCTTGGGAGGTGGGGTTGGCTCTGTAGGCCTGGGGATTGAACCCTGACATCTGTGCCTGCTTGCAGGTGCTTTAATCTGCTAAGCTGTTTTGCCGCCACGTGCCTCTGTTAATCTGTAGAGATCATGAAAATGAACTGGCACAGCGGCTACCACACAGGCACTGAGAGAGCAAGGGCTAGTGGTTCTGCCTACCATGTCCTGTCCAGTACCTCCTGTTGTGCTAGGCATTGGGGATGGCATCTCTGCTTTGAACAGACAGGCTGGTAAAAGAGGGAGGCACATGGACAGTTTCTTAGTCACTGCTAGAAATGTGGAGGTTGAGGGTGCCCAGAGAACTTCAGTAAGGGTTGGGCTACGAGCTGAGCTTTCTTTTTTTTGGCGGAGCCAGGGATTGAACCCAGGTCCTTGTACTTGCCAGGCAAGCACTTATTCTACTGAGCCATCTCCCCAACCCTGAGCTGAGCTTTCTTAAAAATGCTCTCGGGGCCGGGGAGATGGCTCAGTGGAATAAGCGCTTCCCTGGCAAGCGTAAGGGCCTGAGTTCGATCCCTGGTTCCGGAAAAAAAAAAAAACCTCCCCATATTTTGGGCCGGGGAGATGGCTCAGTGGAGTAAGCACTTCTCTAGCAAGCGCAAGGGTCTGAGTTCAATCCCCGGTTCCGCAAAAAA